ATTAAAATCTGTTAAAAGTAGATTTTTTAAGGATAGCATAGTTGGATAAATCAGACTAAGAGTAGGATATTGTTGTTTACTTTAAAGTTGTGTAGCCATTTCAAAAGGACTTAATAATTCAATAAGTCCTTTAATAACTTTCTATTCATTAGTTGTAGGCATTCCACACATACAATACATGCATGATTACTATATAGTGTCAACCATACACTTCATATTTTCTATATACCCAGTTTGATTAGAACAAGATTTACTATTTTTATCTATTTTTATTTATTTTGTGTAATCGATTTTTGCTGATTAATCAGATTAAATAAAAAATCGATTTAAAATCGTTACAATTAAACGATTTTAATCGAGTTTGAAAATTTTAATCGATTTTAGTTTCGATTTTTGATTTTGGCGATTTTCACAGTTTCGATTCTGATCCCTACATGATGATAATCTTGCAATAAATCTATTAAAAGGAATGAAACCACAAATCGTAGGAACTCCAACAGAATATAAAGATTTAATGGTTCAATATTGGGATGCTAATCCATTAAAGAGATACGATATTAAAAACCTAAATGATAAAATTAAAGAAATACGAAATTCGTATTATCAAAATGAAAATAAAGAACAAAACATTAATTTTAACAGTAAACAATCAAATGCAAAACCTAATATAAGTTTAAATTCTAATAATTCATTTATTAGAACATTTAGTACACTTTATACTTTTAAGGATTTACCTGAACCAAGAAATGCTACTGAAGGTAACTATTATATTTATTTATTATGTTTATTATTTATTAAATGAAATTTAAATATTTTTTTTTAACTTACAGAAGAGCAAGAAGGTTGTCATTTAAATTTTTTGAAATATTAAATTTAATTTAATATTAATTTTTTGATATTTCTTTATTTATAAAAAAAAGCTTACGATATGCATTACAGTCTTAATATTTCAAATTGTAAGTAATACTTTATTATATGTAATCATAAGAAATTCATTAATTAATTTGACTACCATAAAAAAATTAAAAAACTCTAAAGATTATACAAAAAAGAACATGTCTACATCAGTAATTGGTAAGAATATATATGTTAATATTTTGTTTTAAAATTACGTTAATAATTTAAGAATTTATATAATTACAGATATGAATGTTGGCAAAACTAAAAGGAATTCAAATAACTTCACAATAGTAATAAGTCATTTCATTAATATTAAGCTTTTAAATAATGACTAAACTTAACTCATAATTTTTTTTTTTACTTTAATTAGAAAATCAAGAAGATTTTACAAATTAAATCAAACAAAGATAAAACTTATTAATGGCAACAATAAGTGATAATTTGTAAAGTTTTATTTTATTCTTAATATTTCTAAAACTGAATTGTTTATTTTAGAAATTAATCAAATCATATAAATTGGAACGCATTATAGGCATAGAAAGCGATGTAAGAAATTAATATTTATTACTAGAATTTACAATTTAATCATTATAATCTCATTAGATGTAGATGTTATAATAATTTAAATGTTGGTTTAGATGATCAGGATAAGTAACGATTCCTTAAGAAAAAATTATTATACATTATTTAATTATATTAAAATAAAAAATTATTATATAAACAAAAGTAATTATTACTGTGTTTAATAATTAAGTAAACAAGAATTGTAACATCACTGAATTTTTTAATACACATTTTGGGAATATTTTTTAATCTGTGTTATAACAATTTTAATAATCATGCCGCTTTTCTTTTGTATATTAACATATTATATTTTATTTTTTTGAGTTGCTGATGTTATAAATTCAAACCAATTGCAACTTACGCCCTAGTAAATCATATAAAAATAAACTTCCCTTATAGTTTATGACAAAAAATATCATACATGTAAAGTTATAACTAAGCTAAAATCAATATTTCTTGTTGCTATTGGTACATAACATTTTATGTACTCCAATAGCTTTATTTCTTTTTTACATATTCTGATAAAAAATTGTATTCGCTAAAAAGGCAAATAATATAATTAATTATTCAAGGAATTATTATTTTTATAAGTAATTCCACCATTTTGGTTTTATAATTAACAATAAAGCAGTTTTACTTTTTATCATTATCTAATGATTAAATTTTAATTTTAGTAATATATAATTAAATTTATCAATTTCTTACATTATGCTAAAATGCATTCCAATTTACATAATTAATTTCTAAAAATAAACAATTTACAGTTTTAGAAATATTAAGAATAAAATAAAATTTTACAAATTATCACTTATTGTTGCCATTAATATGTTTTATCTTTGATTGATTTAATTTTTAAAACCTTTTTGATTTTCTAATTAAAGTAAAAAAGAAACTTATATCAAGTTTAGTCATTATTTGAAAGCTTAATAATAATGAAATGATTCATTACCTTTGTAAAGTTATTTGAATTCCTATTAGATTTGCCAATATTCATATCTATAAATATTAATTATATAATGTCTCAAATTATTAAATCAAATAAGCGTAATTTTATACAAAATATTTAAGTATATATTCTTAACTATTATTGATTTAGACATATTTTTATGATAGTCAAATTAATTAATAAATTTCTCATTTACATATAAACAATTATTACTTACTATTTGAAATATTATGACTGTAATGAATATCGTAAGCTTTTTTTAAAAAAACAAATATAAATTAAAATTTAATTAAATTTAATATTTCAAAAAATTTAAATGACAACCTTCTTGCTCTTCTAGTAAGGCAAATATGGGGTTTCTGAGACAGATTTCAAAAGATATCCAAAAAAAGATTCCTGACCGCCCGCGAACCCATTTTA